ATTGATGACAGTCACCCCCTCTGCCTCCACTCCTCCCCTTGCCAGGTACCATGGGTGTAGAGAAAGCCAAGCAGGAATGAAGGGTGAGGACAGATGGCGGCACGAGCGGCAGTGACGGGGAGCAGGGCCAGAGGGCGAAGTGAGCCTGAGGAGAGTTTTTCTCTCAGACGGTGGCAGCTTGCACGTGGTTCAAATGCAACAGTGGAACAGGAGAGGTCTGCAGACAGACAAGAGGGCAGGCAGGAGGGGGGACCCAGGCGTGGGGAAGGGCTGGCCGCGAGGAGGGCTGCCCCTCTGGTCCATCCATTTTGGTTGTGGACAATTTAGGAAGTTGCTTCTGATGGTAAAAGGTGAGGTCACCTGCTGAGGGGGAAGAGAAAGGCCAGGGACTTGAGGAAAAGGAAGGTTCTGGAGCACAGCAGAGTGCATTGACAAAAGATTTTGTAATGAAAGAGAAAGCAACCCAGCCAAAATGCCAGGGTGTGTGGGCCTCGGTGAGTGGACAGTGACTTTCCCCGGCAGCGCTCATGTGCCTGGGTGCCAGTGCAGCTGAGGCAGCTGACCCCCGTTACCAGCGGGCATGAGGAAAGGCCTGGGGGTGACACGCGGCAGCCCTGGGATCTGACAGGCCAGGATGGACGGGGCAAAGAAGGCGTGCACAGGGCCGGAGGGGCTGACCGAAGTGGGAGTAACAAGGGGCCCGGCGGCCAGGGGTCTGCTGACGCCATCTACACGGCCCTGGAAGTCCCCTGGGGTCACGTGGTGGGCTGGGACGCAGGGGAATAAAGTCTGACAATTATCCAGAACCAGAGTCCTGGGCGCATGTGAGATGTAAAGGGGGTCAAAAGCAGCAAGCCTGGGTCTCTAGGTGAAGTGGCATTTTTATGTGTGGTGACATACACACAGCACAAAATCTACCATCTTGACGGCACGAGCGCAGCTCAGTGGCATCGATCCCACTCACACTGTGGTGGAACTGCCACCTTCAGATGTTCCTCACCCTCCAAAACTGAAGCTCTGTCCCCACAAATGCTAGCCCACACCTGCCTCCCCAGCCCCCAGCAGCCTGCCGTCTGCCTCTATAAATGTGACCCCTCCAGGGCCTCCCAGGAGTGCATTTCCCTGATGGCTAATGATGGTCAGCATCTTTTCATGTGCTCAGCGGTCATTTGTCTGTCTTTCCTGGGGAGTGTCTTCCCGTATCCTTTACCCATTTTAAATTATGTTGTTTGTGTCTTTATTATTATGTTATGAGTTCTATGTATATTCTGAATACAAGTCTCTTAAATCTATGATTTGCAAAGATTTTCTGTCATTCCGTGTGTTATCTTTTCACTTTATTTTGTCCTTTAAAGCACAAAAGTTTTTAATTCTGATGATTCCGAATTAATATTTTTCTTCAGTCACTTATGCTTTTGGTATCATGTATAGGAAAGCATTGCTTCATCCATGGTCATGAAGTTAAATTATGTTTTATTCTAAGAATTTTGTTTAAGTTTTACAGCTCTTATATTTAAATATTGATGACTAATGATGTTAAGCATCTTTTCATGTGCTCAGCCATCATTTGTCTATCTTTAATCCATTTTTAATGAATTTTGTATATGGTATGAGGTAAGGATCCAACTTCATTCTTTTGACATAGATTTCCAGTTGTCCCAACACCGTTTCTTGAAAAGACTGTTCTTTCTCCCACTGAATTGTTTTGGCACACTTGTTGAAAACCAAGTATGGGTGTATTTCTGAACTCTCAATTCTATTCTGTTAATCAGTATGTCAGTCTTTAGGGCAGTGCCACACTGCCTTGATTACTGTGGCCTCCTGGTAAGCTTTGAAATTAGTGTGAGTCCTCTGACTTTGTTTCTCTTTTTCAGTGATGTTTTGGCTATTTTAGATCCCTCACATTTCCCTCAGGTTCCCTCACTTCCCTCATTAAGAATCAGCCTCTCCATTTCTGCAAAGAGTAACTGGGATTTTGACATGGATCGTGTTGAATCTATAAATCAATTGGAAGAGAATTGTCTGCCAGTCCATGAACACAGGTATCTTTCCATTTATTTCTCTAATTTCTTTTAATGATATTTTATAGTTTTCAGTGTGTAAGTCCTTGCACTTTAAAAAATCTATTCCTAAGTATTTTATTCTTTTTGACGATCTTATGAATGGAATTGTTTTCTGAATTTCATTATCGGGTGGCAATGAATGTTTTCCTGGGAGAGGTCAAGATGCTGTAAGTCAGGATGTTATGATGTCTATCTTTCAAAGAAAAACAAAGGATGTTTAAATCAAGATAATGAGGGGTAATAAAAATTATTTAATCAAGAAGATGGCACAAAAGGAAAAGAAAGGGACTCTAACAGAGGCAAGACAGATAATAAGCACTTAAATAAGACAGTAGATTCAAACTCTAATATATTAGGAATTTCATGAAATGGAAATGGACTAAATGGTCTAATTCAAAGGCAAAAATCATTCAGTGGAGTTTGAGAAATATTACAGCCCAAGTGCCTTCCCACGGTGGCAGGTGGTGGAGGGTTGTTTATTTGCTGCACCACCACAGGTCACCCAGGTCCTGAGAAGGTTCCAGAAATCCCAAGAGGAGGCTTCCAGAAGTTCCGTGGCAGTTGGAGCCCATCAGGGGAGCCGTTTACTTTACTGGTCTGGGAAAGAGCTGCCCATCAGTTCGCCCTGCTCTCTGCTGGAGCGACCATTTGTCGTCACTGGTGAGAGGACTTTATCGCGTGAGGGTGCACAGAGGCAAAGCTGAAGGGGTGCAGAGGTCAAAGGTGGGGCCCAGGCTCTGGTGCACAGTGGACCCCTCATCTACCCCAGAAGTTGCTCTGTTCCTACTCAGAGCTGCTTAGGGGTCTGGCCTGGCCTGCAGGCTGCCCGCGGCTCCTGGCCCACTTCCCCATCCTGGGCAGGCAGAAGGGAGGCCGGGTGGAGAAGGGCCCGGAGTGGCTGGAGTGCGGACACCAGGGGCGGCTCTTCTCCTCCTGGCCTCTCCTCTCTCCCTGGCTTTTCCTGTCAAGTCCTGAGGGCCTAGCATAGGGCCATCTCCCTGAGAAACTGTCCCTGTGACCCCCAAATAACTGCATTTGTCCTCCAGAAGCACCACAGGGGACACTATTTGTTAACTAGAATCTCCTGCTTTACCAGAAAACATGGCTAGATGGGAGCTTGAGATAAGACCAGCTGAGTAGGAGAAAGACCTGGGGGGACACCAAGACCTCTCTGATCTCATACAGTATGGCTCAGGAGGGAGCCCCCTGGTACCATTCTTGAAAGGATACTTGGTTTTATAAAAGCCCAAATCTGCAAAATCAGCAAACAAGAGGATTGATCCTTGAATTCCAGGAGCATTGCCAACTTGGCAAGACTTACCATGAGCTGAAGCCCTTAGGGCTTCCCCTGCATTCCTGTTCCCACACTTATACAATGAGGATCCAAGCGGTGTAATTTAGCAACTTGCACAAAGCCCCTGGGGGGTGCCTGGCATCCAGTGGGTGTCCCCCAAGTGTCCCTGTAGCTCTCCCTATATGCTGAGGGGTCTGCTGTGTCCCTTTCCATTCACAGCTGTGCCTGCATCACACAGCTTTGCCCACTGACCACCAACACCTCCCTTGGCTCACCGTGTCTATTTTATCTGAATTCTCTCACGGAGAAACTTGATGCTCTGAGCAAAACCAGATGGTGTGAGTAGCATGCAATAGGCTACTCCCTCCCGGCATAGAGTTATTTTGCCATAATATAGTGGACAGAATAAAATACAACCTCTTTCACAGTATAGCTGTCTTTTTGGCGGCCATAATCATCTTCAAAGCAGTGGCTCTGGTCAAACCAAAAGCCGGAATCTATGAGTGCTTCCAGCCTCGTCTGTCCACACAGACACTTAGCACAGTGCAATTGCCAGGCCTGGAGCAGAAGAAAGCTCCTAGAATTGGGACCAGACGAAGGACAGAGCTGCTGGGCTGACCCTCCCTGTCAACCATAGGCCGCAGGCCCCCAGGGGAGCTGATCAGCCCCAGGATCCCCCAGAAATCTAGGAGCTGCCTGCCTCCCAGGCTGTGGTAAGAGCAAGAACAGGCTTAACTCTCCATTCAGCCAGGGGAGGACAGGCCCAAGCCTGCAGAACTCACCCTTCTTGCCTCCCCCACCCCCATTCGGGCCTTCTCGACAGAGCCTGTCTTTATTTGGAACTTGAGTATTTTGTTCATTATGAATTTGTTTGCACTAATTTTGATTGCTAAAAATATTGACATAGAGATTTGGGGCAGACCTTTAAATGCTGTGCCCTTGGGGACTGGCCCAACCCCTTGTCCTGGAGGGACATCAGGGTGTTTTCTGAGCGATGCCCTCCCCACGTGGGTGTCTCCGAGGGGGACATAAGCAGCTTCTGGGGGACCAGTGGAAATCTGCAGTTTGATCCCTTTATGGGCATTTAGTGGGGGGCAGGGGTTGAAGAGCAGAGCATAAGCTGGGGGTCACTATGGCCGGGGTCAGGACAAGAAGAGCATGGCTAGCTTCCCACCCCCTGCCTCTCCCCGAGCTTTGCTGTCTCTGAGGGGTGAGATACCTTTCAGGCACCCCCTTCCAGGGCCTTCATCCTGACCTTCCATGTCTCGTCTGGCCTTTCCCCCGCCCATCACCTTGAAGCTGTCTCGCTACAATCATTTCCTTTCCTCTTTGTCTCCCATCTCCCCGGCCCTACTTTTCCCAGCGATCCTGTTAGCTGTGGGGTCATGACCGACACAGCCCTGCTCCTTGGGGACGCCCCCCCAGTAGGGCAGGGGGCAGCTGTACAGCCAGAGCAGCAGACGTGGCTCCGTGCCCTCACCCGCCCCCAGGCCACCCTGCGCCGAAACCCGTGCGTCCACGACAAGCCTTTCTGTCTGTGCTTGGTTAGGGCAGGGACATCACATGGTTCCAGGGCTGGGTGGGAAATGAGGTCCCAGGGCCAGTGCCGAGCAGTCTCTGTTCACTTAACAGGCGACGTCAAGATGGCGATTACATCAGACGTCAGAGTAGAGTTCCTGGAGGGAGTGGCTTCTGTCATCCTCAAGTTCAAGCCAGACAGGTGGGGCAAAATGATGGCGGTGGAAGAGAACATGGCCCTATTCACCGAATTCTTCGAGAAGCCCGACGTCCTGGTTCTGGTGATGACGCTCAGTCCTGCTGGAGGGATCACACCCTGCCTGGGCTTCCCGGCGTCCCTCAAGTCCAAAGGGGTTTACTTCATCAAGAAGAGACCTGAGAACATAAGCAGGGACAACTACAGGGACGGTCTCGTCTACGGGGACATAAGCCCCACGCCTGTGGACCAGCTGATCACCATCGTGGAGGAGGTGGGTGTGCTCCAGCGGGCCTAAGCAGGGCAGGAGGGGGCGGAGGGCTCAGGAGGAACAGTTTATTTCTCATACTTTTGGTGGGTGGCCCAGACCCCCGCTTGGAAGGGTGGTCCACCCACCAGCAGCATCAGCCGCCCCGGGAGCCTGGGAATGCAGGAGCTCGGGCCCCGCCCACCCAGGTGGCTGGGACACCTGTATCCTGGCGAGGCCTCCAGGTAACGCTGTGCTCCTGAAGGCCGAGAGACCTCGGCCATCACCTGGTCCTCTCGCCATGCCGAGCACGGTCCCTACCCATCATCTTGGAAGGTGCAGGCCATTCCAGTACTGGAGATGGGTCTCCCCAGTTCCCAGACTCTGAGTAAGGAAAGGGAAGTTCAGGGGGCTGCTTTCTGTGTCTGCTCGCTGTCCAGCCTCCTCCCGGGCATCACCCTTGGCAGGGGCAGCCGTCTCTGGACAGTCAGACCTGACACAGTCCAGGTGACTTGGCTTTTCTGGTCGCTGCTGGTCCTCATCCATGTAGTGGGTGTTTGCATCCCTGCCTTGAGCAGATTTAAAGCCAGAACCCAGGCCAGCCTTCCTTGCGTCTGAATGAAGTGCCTGGCGGGCCCAGAGCAGAAAAGCACACTGTCTGTATTAGCCTGTGTGGACTGCGGTCACCGAGCACCAGTCCTGGGGACTGGGAGCATGAGGCCTCCGTGTCACAGGGTGGGTTCCTTCTGAGGCCGTTCTCCTTGGCTTGCAGGTAACTGTCTCCCCCTGTATCCTCCCAAGGTCACCCCTCTGTGTGTGCCTGTGTCGTAATGTCTTTTTATAAGGATGCCAGTCTTATTGGGTTTGGGCTCTGCCATATGGCCTCATTTTATCTTAATCACCTCTTGAAAGACCATTTATCCAAATACAGTCACATCCTGAGGTGTGAGGGGTCAGGGCTGCAGCATGTGAATCCAGGGGTACCCAGCTCGGCCCCTAGCAGCATTCCCTGGTGCTTGGAGCGTTTGCTTTCAGCAAGGAGCATGTGCTGTGGCCTTGCAAGAGCCAGGTCCCCCTTCACGGAGATGGGTGTGCTGCTGCAAGGACGCGGGAGCTGGGCTGTCACCCTTGGTCTGAACGCCTCTGCCGGCCCGCCTCCTTCTGGTGTAGCAGAGGGCCTTGGTTTCCCCAGGTGTCGGACGCTGAGGGCTCCCCATTCCTCCCGGGTGTCGGCGAGCTGGAGCAGGCACGGGAAGAACTCCGGAACCCTCTCCTTTCAGGTCCTCTACTCTCTGTTAACCCAAAGCGAGGACATGAGCGGATGGCCCCAGGTGGTGTCGGAAGACATTGTGAAGCAAGTCCACAAGCTGAAGAACGAAATGCTTGTGATGGGGGGCAAGATCAAGGGGAAGACGCTGCTGCCCATCCCAGAGCACCTGCAGAGTCCGGATGGCACGCCGGAGTCCGTGGAGAGGTAGGCAGCCGCCCCGGAACCCAGCAGGGTGGAGAAGCAGCCGATCCGTGACCGCCAAGGACCACTACCTCCCTGCAAACTGGTTTTGAAGCTGATGAAATGTCTGAGGGCAAGATGGAGCCATGATGGGGGCTGAGTCTGAGGCCAAGGGCCCAAGGGCAGGATGAGGTGCTGGACCCCTCCTCCGTCACACACAGTGCCGGGCCAGGCATCACACGCATGCACAGTCAGGCACGCTGGCACGCGTGTCTCACAGCCAGAAAAGCAGGGAGCTGGTTTTAGGACATGACCCCAGGGGCGCAGAACAGGTGTGCAGCGGGGGGAGGCAGGAGTCCAGAGGCCGTGGCGTCCCAGGGGCCCCAGGCAGCACGAGGACTCCCAGCGGTCCCCACATGCCACCCGAGTGCCTTGCAGCTGTCTGCTGCGGGGCTCCTGGGACTGTGCTGGTGTGACATGGGCTCTGTTCACTCCCATCAGAGCGTGGCTGCTCCCGGGGGCTCGTCGTACAGGCAGGTTCCCCACGGTCCTCCGCTAAGCCCCCAGCTTGTGCCCCGTGTGGCCCCATGAGCACTGCGGGGAGGAGCTGCCTTGGACGTGGATTTAGTCCACAGCTGGTCTCCTCTTTCTTGGGGCACCCATGGCCATGGCCATCCCCGTTGTTTGCTCAGGGTCTCTCTTATAGCCCCCCACAGGCTGGCTGTGAGGAGCTCAGGGACATGAGGCCAGACGCCAGGTCACTGGTGGCTGTTCAGGGCTTCAGGCAGAGGGCCACTGGGGATGAACAATGCCCACTGTGAGAGGGACTATGACGGCACCTTTCCCAACCTTCTGCTCTGCAGGATCCCCCCCTCCCTGGACATCTCGCTGCTGCATGCCATCGAAACGGTCATCATTGGCTGGTCCCACCAGATCAGGGACGTGCTGAGCAAAAACTCAGCCCAGCCACTGCTGGAAGGGCTGCACCCCCTTCCCCGGGTCGAGTTTGAGTTCTGGGACACCCGGCTGATGAACCTCAAGTGCATCCATGAGCAGGTGATGCCTCCTTCCCCAAGGGGACTGGCACTCAGCTGCCCAAGGCAGGATGGTGCATGTTGCAGCCAGGCACACCCATAAGCGCTCAGCCTCTGTGCCGACTGCAGGGGTCCTGAGGGGCTGAGAATGGGTGCAAAACTCCTCGGCCCCAGCCTGCGGCAGGGCCAGGTTACCATCACCTGGGGCCTGGGAGTTTCTGTTGAAAGGTAATATTCTCTTCTCAGCTGAACAGGCCCAAAGTGAACAAAATAGTTGAGATCCTGGAAAAAGCCAAAAGCTGCTACTGGCCAGCGCTACAGAACGTGTATACGAGCGTCACTGAAGGTGAGCCCGGGACCCTCCCAAAACCCCCAGAGGCTGTTGGGACCTAGGATGCTGGGCAGCCCGTAGCCCAACCTGGGGGGGTGTACCCTGCTCCCCACAACGTTCAGCTTCCTCAGCTCCCACCTTTTGAGGAGGATCCTGTTTCCGGAGGAAGAAACACACAGAACCACACAGCCGTGGCTCCTGAGCATGGGGGGAGAGGGAGCCCCGTTTCTGCTCCCTTGCATGGGGGAGCTCATGCTCTTACTCCGTGCAGGGCTGAAGGAAGCCAGCGAAATTGTTCTGTATCTGAAGCCTCTGCAGATCTTGTTGGAGGAGATGGAACAGGCCGACTTCACAGTGGTACGTCAGCCAGAGAAGGGCCGCTTTGCTGGGGCTGGTCGCAGGCTGTGGGGGAACAGGGGGGCCGTGATGTGGGCCTGGGGGGTGTCTCTTCCCTCCCCTTTGGAGCCCTGGGGAGGGGAGGGCTGAGATGCTGCCCAAAGCCGACACCCGCCATCTCCCCCAGCTCCCGACCTTCATCGCCAAGGGGCTCTACACCATCTGCTTCATCTGGGCCACCTGCGAGCACTACCGCATGCCCTCCAGGGTCCTCGTCATCCTGCAGGAGTTCTGCAACCAGCTCATCGAGATGGTAGCCACCTACCTGCTTGCGGCCACCTTCCCTTCCTGCCGACTGGGCATGCTCTTTCTCTCCGCTCTTTTCTCCCTCAGAGGTGGCCCACCCAGAGTTGTGCCAAGGCCTGGGAGGTGTCTGCCCAGCTTGTCCCAGGTCAGGGGCAAGAGGAGAGAGGGAAAACTGCCCCCCAAGCCCCAGTGCCCCAGGACTCGGCTGGGGGCTTTGTGGGGTCTGTCTGTCCCTCTCGCCCCTCACACAGACCCCCTTCCCTTCTTCCTTTCCACAAGCACACACTAGTCACCTGCAACATTTGAGCTGAGCTGAACCCTGGGCCAGGCTGCCTGGGGCCTGAGGCCCTGTCTGCGGGCCCGGAAGGGCACTGCGGCCAAGGACCCTGCAACCTGCAGCAGGACTGTGTTTCTGTGCCCCTAGGGGGCCCTGGTCAGCTGTGACCAAAACGGTTTTGCTGGGCCTTATCGCAGGATGAGGGGCCGGGCGAGAGGAGCTGCTCAATCTCCTGAGAACAGCCCGGTGGCTGGCAGACGGGTTGGGACGTGAGCTTAAGGGCCAGTCCGTGTGTCAGAAGGAGGAGATCACGGGCCCTGGGGCGGGTTGCTTCCACTGGGGCGCCCAGGCGCCTCCCCAGACGGCTTGACGGAACGGTGGACTGTCTTCTCCTGCCCAGACACGCTCTTTCCTGAGCCCAGATGAGGTGCTGAAGGGCCTGCAAGGCGAGATAGAGGAGGTCCTGAACGGCATCTCCCTGTCCGTGAACGTTCTGAAGGCGCTTTACCGAACCTATGACTTCTGCTGTGCGAACATGGAGCTTTTCTTTAAGGTAGGGCTTGATTTGCAGAACACGAGTCAAGGTGGAAACGAGGTGGGGTCAGTATGGCCCCGACGTCTGAACACACAGAAATGTTTGACTCAAACACGGCCTCTTCTTTCTCTCTCCTAGAAAGACAAGGAGCCGGTGCCTTGGGAATTCCCTTCTTCCCTTGCATTTTCCAGAATGAATTCCTTCTTCCACCGAGTCCAGACCATTGAGGTAAAGGTGAAATTTGGTTCACTTCACCTGCATGTCACAGGCCGCCCTTCCCTTAGGATACTGTGTCTTCCATCCTTATCCGGCTCCCAAATAGTCGCTCTGCAGGGAAAATGAAAGTCACGCCAAAAGTCCATCTCCCCGGGAGGCCGTCATGGGGCCAGGCTACTCTGTGCCTGGGGCTGTTAGCCAGGAACAAAAGCCACCCTTTCGGGCTGCTCCTCCCCTTCTCTGCCTCCTGCCCCCCAGCAGAATGACACACTAATGACCCATGGAATGACCATGGTCGGGAAGCCAGGAGGCCAGGGCCAGAGGCGGCGGGACTGGGTAGTGCCAGTGAAGACCTCAGAAGGCTGTGCCGCAGCCCTGTTTGGATACATGGAATGGCACGTGGCCGATTCAGAGTTTGAAATGGTTCCAGTGGTTTCCTCTGGGGAAAAGAGTGAGGGACAGGGACCCTGGCAGGACCAGAAAGTTCTGCTTTTTTGTTTTGTAACCTCCTGTGTGGTTCATCCGGGTTTTTTCAATTTTAACTTTGTATACATACTAGTCATACCATGAAAAAAAAGAGGGGAAAAATCATCCTAGAACCATTGAGTGCTGATATTATGATGGACGCTGGTTAGCAGCCGCTTTGGGAAGGCCTGGCTGGTTCTCTGCAGGCCGGCTGGCAGGCAGGGTGGGCGGGGGGCAGGGGGGCCAGGCTGGCCAGCCTCGCCTCCTCGTGGGCAGGAGCCCTGGAGGTCAGGGCATGGCTGCACTGGTGTTTTTGTTGGGCTTGCTTTGGTTGTGGCTTGATACACCTTAGACGTTTTGGGAAAATGACACCAACCTTGGCACTAGTTGGGGGAGAGGTCTGAGTGCCCCATGAGCATCTTCAGTCTGAACGGCACAGGGCACAGGGTCTGGCACCTAGAAGCTGCTTGTGACCCTCCAGGAGCCCTTGGGATCTGGATCAGGCAACAGGAACCACATGCACAGTGTTAGGTGATGGGGGGGCTGAGCAGCATTGAACGCCAAAATGAAGAGCACATGGGATTATGGAAGGGAGAGCCTTGGGCCCAGCACGACAGTCAATCCCAGGGGAAGAGACGGGAGCCACACCTGAGGGGAGGTGGGGTTCACAGGCGAACACCCGTTAGGCGCCCTCCCAGGGCACCTTCGGGGAGGGTTTTCCTGGAAGCAGAGAACTTGAAGCTTAGCGAGAGCATCAGACACCACGTCTAGCCTTTCCGACTGCTTCCATTCACAGCTGAGGAACTGGGGACCACGGTAAAGTGTGATTGCTTTAGAGGCTCATTTCCACCAGCACGGGTTCAGGACAAGGCCCAGTTTCCATCTCTCCCCTCCCTTCCATGTCCACAACATGGGGAGCCCTTCCTTCCATCCCTTCTCTCTGTGTTCCAGAAATGACTTTAGAAAACAGGAACGCAGAGAGCCCCTCACTGCCACGTGGCCCTGGCAGGTCTGAGTTACCTTAGTGACTGAGCCCCTGAGGTTGGCCATTAGTAGGAACTGACCAGGTGAACTGGGTTTTGTCTCCACCAGGATCTTTATAAAACAGCTATTGAGTTTCTGAAGCTAGAGAAAATTGAGCTCGGGGGAGTGAGGGGCAACATCTTGGGAAGCCAGATCGCTCAGATTTACAGTGAGGTCTTCGAGCTGGTGAAGGTCTTTGCCGACTGCAAATATGACCCCCTGGACCCTGGAGATCCGGTAAGGCGGGGACCTCGGCTGGTCAGTGGCAAATGCCCCAGGAGCGGGCAGACATGTGGAGGGTGTGTGTCGGGGGACAGTCACATTCTAAAGCCCCCAGGAAAGCTCTGCACACACAGTGTCCACAGGGCAACGCGTCCGCTCAGACTGACCCCGAGCCCCACCCGTGGGCTGTCGGCACCCAATAGGGCCACCCTTGCTCTGCATGCCGGTTAATGAGCTTCATGTTTTGCTTCACGTTTAGAGCTTTGATGACGATTACACTGACTTTGAGAACAAAATTCAAGATCTGGATAGGAGGCTGGCCACCATCTTTTGCCAAGGGTTTGATGACAGCAATTCGATCGAGTCCTGTGCAAAGGTAGGCATGGGTGGGGACCCTATGCTGACCGCAGGGTTGACTTTGGGAACCACAACCCAGAGATGATGGAGTGGTGCGTCTTCAGCTACAGATAAAGAGCTGGGCCCTGAAAGGGCAGGGGCCTGGTTCGGTGTCTCAGAGCTGGGCCAGCCGTAAGCGCCTCCAGGGGCCTCTGTCACTGCCACGCCCTGTCATAGTGGGAGAAGAGAGTGAGAACGGGGAACAGCTGCTCCCCGATTCTCACTGCTCACCGAGCAAAGGTGTCATTTGTTCTTCCTCTGTTCCACTTTCTCAGTACTTAAAAGGAACATAAGTACAGAGAGGCCACATTGCTAAAAGAATTAAACACGCACACTCTGAGCCACTGAGTGAATTGACACGCTCTTCACCGTTTGAGGCTCAAGAAGCAAACACAGATCATTACTGGGGAGACGCCTCCAAATAACTCAGGCTAGTTGTCTGTCTTCAGTGTGTTTTTCTATGATTTCCAAGCTGCAAGGATTCAGCATGTAGTGCCTTTACATTTAGAAAAAAGAAATGATGCTATAAGAAAAGAATTAAAAGAAACAGATCGTAGAAAATCACTAAACCCCCCAGAGAACATCAACTCAAAGGAGAAACACAAAAGGCCAATACACGTGTATGCTTTAAGTTTGGCCTCACAAATAATCAGAAAAATGCCAGTTAAAAGAGCCAGGTGCCATCGTCAAGTTGGTCAGGACTATGAAGAGCTGGGCACCATCGTCCCCGCTGTGGATTGGTGCCCCCCTCCCCCAAGAATCCCGTAGCTATGGGCATGTTGGGGGGCACGCAGGTGGCCCCTGGACCTTCAGCCCCAGCACATCATTCACTAACTGGGAGGGCGAACAAGCTGCTGAACGCCGGGCAGACTCCTCTCCAGGCAGCCCTCTTCACTGAGGGCGACTGATGCCCCTCAGCTTTGCCAGGTCTGTCTGGGTCTGGAACTGGAAGACCTGTATTCTGGGGATCCCTTCAGTTCCAACAAACCCAGACCCTCACCCAGCAAACAGGAGGGGCCGAATAAGTGTGCATGAGCACAGGAAGCATCTGCGTGGTCATCAAGGGTTTCACAGCGTCCGTCTCTGTGTTCTCCCCCCTTTGTTGCCATAGTAAATCACCAAAGGGAAGCCTGCTAATTCAATTCATAATAGCAGAACGTCAGAAAAATGAGCAGAGTAAATGTGCACCTCCCCTACTCAACACAACAGTGCTCAGAAGTTAACTAGATCTGATGGTCATTGGACTTTCCAGCATTTTGCATACACCATCGTCTCACCAAATAACTCAGAACCTGGGCATTTGTGCCCACCAGATTCACAAGCTCCTGGCCCACACCGAGGCCCTGGCAGGGTTTTCTCTGGCCCCGTCTTAGGCAGTCACTAACCTGCTCCATCCCCGTAGAGTTGCCTAGTCTCACATGGCACCTGAAAAAATTTCAATCAGTTGCCAACATATACAGATTGAGAAAGTTCACATCGAAGTCCAGGTTTTCACCCTCTCTTGGAAAGGCATGTCTGGCCACATAGGACACTCAGTCCCTCAGGGTTACAAGCAGCTGCAAAGGAACTGCGCTTCTTCCCTGCGGACTGAACCTGAGTGGTCCAGGTTGCTCCACTCCCCACCACTCCTTGTTGTCCTGGCCCAGCCTTCTTTGTGCATTTATGTGACCTGCCTCACCCCTGCCAGTAATTGGGAGGGGCTCTCTGCAGGATGTATTGTGTCTGACTACAGCTTGTTTGCAGAATGGGTACTGGGTATTTAAATGAGTGTACATGGATATGCTTGGGTAGCCTTATTTCTCTGCCCAGTTTTGTGCATGTTTGCCAACTATGACTGTCTGGGTTCAGAGCTATCTCTTGCCCTCACGTTGCCAGCCTCCAGGTTGTTGCGGGCAGTGCAGTGCCTGCAGATGCCCAGTAACTGTTCTAGCATCCTGGGTCCCACACACTTTGCTAAGCATTATTATCTCACTTAATTCTCACAGGTTCCCGAGATATTTCCTAAACTCAGTACCTGCATTATCCATCTCATTTTACCAGTTTAGACAAGTCAAGACATCTGCCCGAGGTCACACAGTTAGCCAGCAAGTAGAGAAACCAGGACCCCAAACCAGCCCTGAGCTTGACTGCTTCCAGGGCTTCTGCTCCACCGGCTCCGCCAAGTGGGCTCCCATGCCAGGAAGGCAGTGGGATTGGCCTGGGCGGCCCAGAGGGACCCTCTGTCCAGAGGGCGTCAGAGCTCGGCTCCCCAGCCCTGAGCACAAGGATCTCTCTATCACAAAGGCCAAGATATTCCTTTGCCTCTCAGACATTCTTTGAAAGATGCAGATGGAAGGGAATTTGAAGCTCTGCATATGTAACGATCAATTAAGTCTTGGATTGAGTCGATGCTCCAGGCGAAATATCAATGAACGTGAATTAGTACAGGGCCTCCATGCCCTTCCCTTCTCTGGAACACCCTTCCCTCCAGGGAGCTGCCTTCTGCCACGGCCTCCCCCTCTCCCTGTCCTGCCCTCCCCCTCTCCCTGTCCTGCCCTCCAGGCCCTGGATTCTGCAGTGTATTGATGCTCTCTGTTTATTGTCTCCCTGAGACATATAAACTCCCTGAGGGCAGGTGCTGGATTTGGGTCCATTCAGAACCAAGCCCAGGCACTTCCCCTGTGGAGGGACTGGCTCCAGCTGAAGTGGGGGAGCGATCGCTGGAGTCGTGGGGAGGTCATGTCGTCGGGGGTGACCTCAGGCTCACACCCCAGAGGGTGTCTCAAAGCTGCAAGTGCAGAGAGGTCCTGAGCAGGTTTCCAGCCAATCCTTTAATTTGGAGACACCAGGTCCTCCCTGTGGTAGAGCCTCCAAAATTGAAAGATAACACTAACCAAGAGGTGGTGCCAGGCAGGTGCCCCTCACCTCTGGTGGGCAGAGCTGAGCAGGGGCGCCTTGGGCTCCCCACGGGCAGGGTGTGAATTCGCCTTGTTTTTCACTCCTGGGGATGGAAATGGACCGAGAAGGTCCAGGGGCCCAAACCAACGTGCTTGTCCCCTAGGTGATCCCGAGCAGGTAGGTCACCCCGCTCCGAGGGGCAGAGGCGGTCCAGGAGGCAGCCCTGTGGCGCCTGAGCTGAAACTCCAACACGCCGTTCTGCCCCGGAAGGAAAAGCCCTGTTCCACATTTTCACTTTATGTTTATGCTGGATGAAAAGAAAAAGCAAGAGGGAAATATGGGAGAAAACAGCGCTTGTGAACCATTTCCATCTCCGTCTGCTCATCTTCTCTCTGTACTGAAGAACCTTTTCTTTCCCGTTTGCTGGCCCTGAGCTCTAGTTAGGATGGGCCCCTGGGGCTCCCACCCTCCCACCTGTCCTCCACCCCTGCGCGTCCCCAAGCTGCCTCGATGCTATTTCTCACTGTCAGTAATGCAACACAGCCAGGAAAGTTCTAGAGCAATTTTCCACATGATCTCCTCCTGGTAGAAAATAAAATTAACTTCCTGCCCAGAAGCCAGAAGCCAAAAAATATATATATATATGTAAACATGAAAAGAAGGGAAGAATGGGAAAGAAAAAAAAATGTCAGAAAGGTCACAAACCAACAAGAGGAAGCTTTTTTATCAACTGTCATGTGTCGATTTTTAAAAAGTGTCTCCGGGGTCCTGATGTGTCCGTCACTTCCCTGCCGAGAACCACAGTCAGAACATCAGAGTTTGAGCTTCTTCCCAGACTCAGTGGCTGTTCTATCTGGCTTTTTGAGACCTGAAAATCTCACCTCCTATATCTGCAACTGTTTCACTCTGTCCCCAAAGGTCATCTTTGGGACAATGGTCACATTTTTCAAACCACAGTCTGAGGCAAATCTGAGACTTGGGGCCAGTCCTTAAGGCGCTGGGAGCTTGGGCTGTGCCCACAGAGAGAACGGGCTGTTGGGAGCTGGCTGAGCCCCTTGGGCCTCCAGAGCAGTGGGGGCCTGTGCCCGTGCCCTGGGGCTGGCCTTGACTTAAGGGACCTTCCTTCAGGTCCCCTCCACAGGAGGCCTCACTCTCCGGGTCCCAGCCAGGGAGCCTCCCTCCCCCTCAGGCCCCGCCTCAGGCTCTGTGCTCCCCTTGGGCCACCCTGCGTCTGGCCGCCGCTGGCCTGCAAGGGTCTTTATGAAATGCCCCTCTGGTCCCAATTTGAGCCACCCTCTGATTCCAGCCAGGACCTGAACCAAAACACCCAGATAAAATATCTTGTTCTCTTCTAAAAATCTTTTTATTTGTTAAACAACTCCCAATGTCTATCATAGACGGAGAGGGCGATGAGCAAGCTGTTTGCAAAGGCCCTCGGGCACTGTTACTGCTTTCAGAAATACGCTGTGAGGCCTCCTGGACTAGTTCAGGTCAGGGGCGGTCCAGCTGACGGGTGTGCAGGTCCGGGCTTTCCTCTCATGGAAATGACGCATTCCAGGGGACCCAGGCTGTCCCTGCTCCTCGGACATTTGAACTCCCAGGGCCGCAGCTTCTAAACATTGCAAAGCTCTCCCTATAATGGCCTCAAGTCCTCGCGAGCAAAGCTCTCCCAGCCTGTTTCTGCGTACTCTCGGCATCTGTGCGTGTTGTCTGGGCCCCTGCCCTGTTCGCCGCCTCCACCCTGCTCAGCTCAAGGCTGAAACACGTCTCCCTGCACTGCTGGGTGGAACTGTGCCCTCCAGAAAGTCGTGGTGAAGTCCTAACCCCCAGTACCTGTGAACTACTGGAAAATAGGCTCTTTGGAGATATGATTAGATGAGGTCCTGCTGCAACGGCGTGGGCGCTTCATCCAGGATGTCCAGGGGCCTTATAAGAAGAGGCATAGGAGAAGTCCACGCCCCGATGGAGGCACAGACTGGAGTGGTGGCGCCACCGGCCACCCCGGGAGCTGGGAGAGGAACCCGGGCAGATCCTCCCTTCAAGCCCTACCCACACCTCAGTTGTAGACGTCTTCCCTCCGGAGAATAAATTTCTATTGTCCAAGCCGCCGGCTTGTGGTCCTTTGTTATGGCAGCCCCAGGACACTCGCACCGGCGCTCAGTGAATGTGGTCATTCGGGGCCCCTCCTCCTTTCCTCTGGCTCTGTTCTCTCCTTGTTCCCCTTGCCCACGGCTCTTTTCAGAGCAGAACAAGCCTCCTGGTGGTGGTGGTCCTTGCCTGAACGGGGCCTTGAGGGTCAGCGCTCTTCCTAAGTGGAGTAATTCTGACCGAAACATTTCTCCACCTGGTTGTAGAGTCAGCCCTGGCTATATAATGGTTATATAAATGCAGTATCATGGCTATTTTTTAAAAATTAATTTAATTTTTTAATTGTTTAAATCTTCTTTGCCCCAAACCTCATTTCTTCTGAGCCCAGAATAAATTTTTCCAGACCTTGGACCTATTTACAGTGTTGGTTTACAAGTCACATATTTGGGGACCCAGCATATGTCAATAGGAAGATCTCAGAGATGTTCGTTTAACCTGTTGCCACACAGAGAGAGGTTCTTTGTCTTGATGGGGCACATATTTTCCCTAATTGTGTCAACAGCTGAGAGGTCGGGGTGATGCCAGGGATGGGGCAGGCGGCAGGCACCCCAGCAAAGGTGTGTCTCCTTTCTCCGCAGCTCCTGCACATGTGTGGGGGTCTCCTGGAGCGGCCCCTGATTCTTGCCGAGGTGGTGCCCAGGTACTCGGTCATGCTGCAGCTGTTTGATGCTGAGCTGGACAACACCAAAGTCTTGTATGATGCCCAGTCCTCAGCATTCGCAGGCGGGGCTGTCCCCCCGATCCACAGAAACATGCCGTCCGTGGCCGGGCAGCTCAAGTGGAGCCTGGAGCTGCAGGAGAGGCTGGAGGCACCCATGAGGGACCTGAAGCACATAGAGCACCCGTGAGTCGGGGTGCCGCCCCGGGGTGTGGGAGGCGGCACCCCCAGGGCTGTGGGCAGCCGGGAGAGCCTACCCCTCACTTTGTGTCGGCCACGCCTTCACTTCCCAAGGCACAGTCCAGAAGAGTGTGTCCCCCTCTCCTCCTCTGGGCGCCTTCTTGTGCCCCTTCCCCTTGATGGCCCTCCTGGTGGAAGGAACAAACACAGGCCGTTTACTCGGCACTTGCCGTGGCAGGGAGCTGGCCGCTGTCACCAGCGTTCGGCAGCGGGCTGGGAGCACTTACAGGACAGAGGGCGGGCCTCAGGTGTGCCCCGATGGGGGTCTGCTGGCCCCCTGCAGGGGGACTGAGGAGGGGCAACCTATGTGATTGGTTGGAGACATACCTGGCTTTCTCCAATTGGTCCTCAGTTGGAAGAGAGGCAAAACTTAGGGAAGCTGGTGTTATTAATCAAGTCCTGGCATTTGGGGCCAGTTGCTACGAGGGCTCTTGCTTGACCTGCTGGGCCAGGTGCTGCAGATTGAGGGCCATCGTCCACCTGTGTATTTCAGTCCCTCAGCTGGGGGAGACAAAGCTGGCTGGCTGCTCCATGCCCCAAGGTCTGGCAGCTGTGGCGGGGGCGCCCAGGGGACCTGAGGATGTGCACGTGGAGCGGGTGCCTCACCAGCCCGTGATTGCAGGGTCATGTCCAGTGTGGAGGCCAAGCTCATCTACCAGAAGTATGATGAGATGATGGAGCTGCTGAGACGCTACCGTGAGAAGGTCTACCAGCAGTGGGTGGCAGGGGCAGACCAGGCCTGCCACTTCAACTTGGGGCAGCCCCTGATCCGGCGGGGCCCCACCATGAACCTCCTCCGAGTCAACTTCAGCAAAGCGGTGGGTGCCACCTTGCTGCTGGGTCTGGAAGGTGCCCGTGTCAAAAGCCACCCCTGGGACCTGAGGTTCCACTGTGGAGGGTCGGTGGGGGGAGACCAAAGCCCCGTGTACCGCTGAGCCCGGTCCTCCTCTGCCAACAGCACGAGCTTGTGGGGGCTGGTGTCTATGTCGTATTTAGCCACATTATTTAAGTATTTTTAAAAGTCTGTCCAGGATATATTTAAGGTATGAGACAAAATAGTAGCATCCTTGAAAATAGCTTCAATGAGTACATCTAAAGCTTGGCTGCCTTTCATGAGATCCCAAGAGGAAATGTCAATTTAAGAATTAAAAAAAAAAGAAAAAAGAAAGGGTCTTTGCAGGATCTGATCAAATGGACTTGGGTCAAGTTGGGTAAGCTGGAAGGAGCTCATGGTGTGTGCTATGGGGTGTGTGTTCTGGGGCTAAAATCCGGGTAGTTTGCACGTGTGTGGGGGACAGAGTGGGAGCAGCCTGAACCCCCGCAAGCACTTGCCCAACATGGACGCATCTGCGCTGCTCTGGGCAGTGGGACCAGGAAGGTGGGGAGCCCGGATGTGACCTTTCCTCTGAAACCTTCTCTTCCACTAAAAGTCATTCATTCTTTAATTCAACAAACATTTGAATGAAATATTTGTTGAGCATCTACTGACAGGGCAGAAGCTCTCTCGAAAGTGATGCCCTGGTGTTGACCTGGGCCAGAACCAGGTGTTAGGAGATGTAGAAGGGAAGGTCACATCCGAAGGAGGAGCCAGGCAAAGACCTGGAGTCTCCCCAGACCACCTGGTAGTGATGGTGTCGTCCACCCTGGCTGGCACGTGCTCTGGCTCAGGAGCAGCAGACCGGGTGAGGATGTCCTGGTCCCACCAACAACCCGCCTTCCCTCAGGCAGTAGGAGCGTCCAAGGGACAGACCTTCACTTGGGTGGCTAAATACTGTCCCACTGAGCTCACCCCAACCTTTCCCGTGACCTTCCTTTGCCTTAGCTGGTGGCAGTTCTCAGAGAAGTCAAGTACTTGAACTTCCAGCAGCAGAAAGACATTCCAAGCAGTGCCGAGAATCTGTTCTCCCAGCATGAGACCTTCCGGAAGTTTGTGGGCAACTTGGAGCTCATCGTTGGCTGGTACAATGAGGTGAGCTGGTGTAGTTTTGTTCTGTTTAGTTGGCCAAGTTTTGGGTTTTGTTTAGGACAAATGTAGCCGCAAGAGCTCCCGGTGGAATAGAACAAGTGAGCACATCTTCATATTGAAATGTGGTTCCAGCCATTCACATGAACACTGGCAGCAAAGATGGTGCTGATTCAGCGCAGCTGGTGGTGGGACCTTCCTCCCCCTGGACTTCGGTGTGATCACGTGATCGTCTGTAGATGCTCTACTCTCCTAAATACATTTTGCTCTGGATAATGTCAGTCATTCAAGATTACTTCCATTAAAGTTGGTGGGGGCGGGTGGCATTTCCCGGAATCTGAGTAGGATTACAGACTTCCCGGCCGTGTGTGGTGAGGAAGCAGGGGTGAGGGGGCCGCCCTCGAGGTCAGCAGATGGCTGGGGGGCGGCCGGCCCACCCTCAGTTCTATCCATCCGATCTGGGGACCCAGCCCAAGGAATCATGAAGAGACTGATCGTCAAGAAGCGCTCCCAGTTACCGATCAGATGTGGAGGACAAGCTCTCCTAGCAGCGGGGCTGTTTGTTCAGAGCACCTCCTTCCTGGCATGAGGACCCCCAGAAGCTGAATAGCAACCAGAAGGGGACCCAAAGAGCATGGATGTGGACACAGCAGGCAGTCAATATGGGCACCTCCTTAATACGGACCCCACCTCAGACCCCGGGAGCGGCTGCTGTTTGCACCCCACGACCCCTCCCCTTCCCCAAGCCACAGCAGATTAAGTGTGTTACTGCACAAGTGTCAGAAGCCCACAGCCTGTTTCCTTCTACTGAAATCAAGGTGCTACAGTGCTGCTGCCTTCGGGAGGCCGCCTCGCTCCTCAGCTCGTGGCCAAGCCACCCCATCTTCAAGCGGCTTCACGCCAGTGTCACCTCCCCTTTGTGAGGGCCTGTGCCCGCACTGGGCCCGCCCCAGGGAATCCAGCACGCTCCCCCCAAGTCAAGGTCCTTGCCAGAAGCTCACGGACAAGCCTGCTTAGCCGTGTGAGGTGGCGTGTGCAGGGGCCCCGGGATCAGGAGCAGAGCCCTCTGGGGAGCCCTACACAGGACGCTGGGAATTTGGAATTGGGTCCCACCTCACTCACACTGGAGTCAGGGGGAGCAGAGGAGCCAAAGGCGAGCAGAAACCTCCGCTGCAGGAGGAAGGCGGCAGACAGCCCGAGAGGCCCCCGACACAGAGGAGGAGCCGGCCGCGGCCTAGCAGCCCCAGTTCTGGGACCCTCGGGGCGCGGCGCGTCCGTGGCCCCCTCTGTAGCCTCAGCTGTTGGTGCGGCCCTCGCACTGCACTCACTCCAGTGGGTTAGCTTCCTGCAGCCAACTCGTCCCCAGCTGGAAAAACTGTCTGGAACCTGGAATATTCAAGTTCCCGTGTTTGTGTCTCAATCTGTCCAAGAGACGCCTATGGACTCCCAGATTCCCGATGTGAGGGCTCTGTTCCTAGAGCCGCCCGGGGCTGTGCCTCAGTCACCTTCCCTTGTTGGGGCCTTGTACCCAAAGCCCAGGTCCGTCCCGGATGCGCAGAGGGAGCTGCTTCTGCGTCCTGTGCCGCCCTCCCAGCCTCCCTGCGGAGTTCCGAGCCGGTGTTGGTAACCGGAGCGTAGCGTGACATGCACCCTCCTCCTACCAGGAACACTGTGAATCCCAAGGGTGCTTCTTTGTCACCCAGGAAGTGCAGAGAAGGCGCCCTATGCAGGGCATGGTGATAACGACGCTGTGTGCTCAGCCAAGCCCAGGAACTCGATGCCCACCTCAGATGCCAACCAAGAGAAGGGTGGGAATATCAAAAGATTCAGAGCCAGGTCTTGGGGACTGAGGAAGATAGAAGCCACCTCCTTCATGGAGGTTGGGAAAGACAAAGACGAAGCGAAGGTGTCAGGTGGCGCCACCTGTAGATGAGTCACAAACACCTCACACACACACACACACACACACACACACACACACACACACACACACACGAGATCAGCCATGATCTGCACCTAACTCATGCCAGGAATGAGGGCGAGGCGGTGTGTGACCTAAAATGAGTGCAACATATACTACAGTACGCTCATTTTCATTAGCTTCATTTTTCAAGATAAAACTTTAATTGGCCCGCTTATTTGTGCTACAGATTAGGAACCCGTGTCTGCCTTAAGGGCATTTCCTTGAGTTAGGGCTCTGCAGAACCCCCCGTCTTGGGACTCAGAGAACTCCGTGTTCACCGGGTCTCCAGAACGCCTCCTAGCCGTAGCGGTTAAAGAAAATGAAGCTCTGAGAATACTGTGAATCCGTGGAAAACCATCTGTGGCTTTACGTTCAGTGAAAAAGTTTGTCTGCCATGGTGCAATCCAGAAAAAAAAAAAAACAGTTCCATGTTATTTAGGATAAAAAAATTGGTCTTCCCCTTCTGTATTTCCAAAGAAAACCCAATTGAGCACATGCTGTCTGATCTGTGGAGCCCGTTAACCTCGGCTGGGCACGGTGCTGTTCTGGGGACAGGAGTGCCGGGCCCGGGCGGGAGCAAGGAGGTCTTCCGTCCGGCCGAGCGCCTCAAGTGGCTGTGGGATCCACACCGGTTCCTCTTTGGAGACATGCCGGGTCCCTCCAAGTGCTTCTTATCCTCAGCATAGCTTCTGCTGCGGGTGACACCTGACCAGTGACATCTGTTAATATCCGAGCTAGACCAGTGTGCGTGTGGTGCTGGCAGGAATCCACTGGGGTGTCTGAGGGACCGCTTACGAGTGTTTTTTCCCCAGATCACATTTCTGGGAAAAAGGCCCTAAAAGTCTGGATTTATAACACTGGCTGTTGAAAAATAATAAACTGGGCATATTAAATGGATCTTACCATCACAAGCTTTGTCTGCTCTGGCAATTACAAGGGCATAATGATATTTAGCTACTTTTCTGGACATAAAACAAGTAGGTGGGAACCGCCTTTCCAAATATCTGAGTATCCGCGTGAGTTGGTGGGCAAGCCCTGTAGCGCGGCCTTCACAAGGCAGAGGAGCATCCCCTCCCCGGCTCCCCCAGGGGGGCTGGCCCTGGTGTCTGATGGGGTGGGAGGGGGCAGCCCTAATACCTTTGCCCACAGTACAGTCCTCAGAAACTCAGCACCTTTTCCCAGGTGGTTAAATTCTGTATCAAGGGCTCCCCTCTGAACCCTACTCCAGGGATTTAGCTGCAAAGATGCTGAAGAGGCACCTAATGAGATGATTTTACTTAGGATATAGAATCAAAGCAAGGGGACCAGTCGTGGGGAGGGGACTGCTTCCCAGTGTGATTGTTCAGCAGCCAGACTCTGATAGATGCCATCGATATTTCACGTTGACCCACTTTGCAATTCCGTAGATGCTTTCCTTTACTTCCGTCTGGTTTCCGCTGGTGATAGCTCTTCCCTTTACTTGTCCAGCCCTGCCCACCTTTTCTAAGAATCAATTGCCTGAAAACACTTGGAATCCTAGTGGGGGCAGAGGCACCGTTTAAAGCCCCTAATGTATGTGGAGAATTATTCTGACAGGTGAACGGGCTGCACCCGATGCACAATTTATTCCTGTGTATGTCCCTTATTCTATAGAAGTGTTCGTGAAAAATTATGTAAAAATCAAAATTTTGCTAGGTAGAATGATATTCCAAAACTCAAATGGTGCTTATTATTTGAAAGAATAATTTATGTTAAAAAAAAACTGTATGGTCCCTCCTTGGCCTTTTTTTTTTTTTTGGGTTTTGTGAACTGTGGTTTTCAGGCATCAAACTCATTTCACAGAGCAGGGTGGCACTCGGTCAAAGACTGCATGGCGCCTACACTACTGCTAACTGTGACCCACTTAAACTTGAATGGCATCTCTGCAGCTCCTAGATCTCTTTGTGTAGCCAAATGTAGAGCTTCTGAGCCCAGAAATGCCCCAGTTAGCCAAGCTATTTCTCTGACTTTCTTTTTATGAATCTTAGCCAAACTTCCTAAAATTTCAGATTGTACATTCACTGTTTTGGCCTTATCGTATTTCCTTCTCTTTCTATCTGTTACCAGGGGTAATTAAGAGTGAAGTATATACATAAATCCTTGGTAATGAAAACAATTTTAAAAGTTGAAGTCTCCCAAAATTCGATTTACATATAATTCCCAAACACACTAATGTTAACTAGTTTGGGTGGGATTACGTAATAAAAATCCTTACCATGAGACAATTGAAAATCTGGTTGAATTTGGAACAAAGGCCCTGAAACTGGAGCTTTTGTTTTGCAGATAAAGACCATCATGATGGATGTAGAGTTTCCACTAGTGAAGTCAGAACTGGAAGCAATTGATGCCAAATTATTGGACGCTGAGACGACGTTGTTCTGGGATGGCGAAGGTACCAAGGCCATACATACCATGTCACCTTGGGTTAGACTTGGGTGAGGACAGGGTCGGGGGGAGGGGATCCAGCCTGTCCAGCGTCTGTCCTAAAACATACCCAAGGAGCCACTCTGTCTTCTGATTACATGGATCTGATTTAACAGAACAGGGCCACGTTTAAGCTAAAGGGTAGTTTCACCTGCTCACCCAGTCCCGAGAGAGCCTGTCTGTGCTGCTTACAGATGGAATCAGGCAAAGACTCCTGGGAACCATCAAGGGCTGGGCTGTGTGGTGGTTCCCACGGGCACAGCTGACGGGCAGAGCCAATGCACATGGCAGGTGGCTCGGGCACCTGTTGGAGATGTAGTAAGAAGTGCACCCAGCAGCCTCTTCCTCCCTTCATCCCACCCCTGGACCAGGCAGAAGGCACCCACCTGACTCCCCTCATGCCCAGCACTAGCTCTGGGTGGGCACCACCGCCATTGCTCCCGCCTCCATTGAACCTCCCACCTTGCCTTCTGCCATCTTTTCAGCCCTCCTCTGCCATTTCCTGCCTCCACTATCTCAACAAGAAGGGGGGACTGTCCATCACCTGAAACCAGGGTCTGAGTGAACCTTTCTGTGCAGGGAAGCCATATACTTTGTAATGAAGCCCAAGTCTGTCCAGCATTCTGTTCATGGCTGGAGGGGCCAGGAGGCTCAGGGGAGGGGCCCTTTGACATCAGGAGTCTAGAGCTCCTGGGTGGAGTTAATGATCCACCTCTTTGGGGACAGGGAAGTCCTGCTTCCACAGAGGCACAGTATGCACTGTTCCCCAGCACTGCATTTCGGGGAATTCGCAGTGACCTCTTCTGCTCCACGTTCTGAAGGAGGTGGTTTCCAAGAGCTGTCTCATAATAATGGGTGTTAAACGAGCCCAAGAGAAGTTTTCATCTTGTTAAATCGTTCATTTTATCAGATTACTTTAAACTTATATTTTAGGTGTTTTTGAATATATTCAAGAGATGCGAGAAATTCTACATAACTTGCAGAACAGGATGCAGAAAGCAAAGCAAAATGTAGATGGGATTTCCCAGGCCATGAAGGTGAGAAAGCTGCAAGGCACACCGGCAGGGCTTCGGTGGAGGCCCAGAGAGGTCCTGGGGAAAATGGGCCACACGGAGATGCTCATGGCAAGTGCCAGAGGCAGTGGGAACCTGCTGTTTGAGGTGCCAAACCACGCGCATGGATTGCACAACGGAGTCAGGGTGGTCCCAAGGCAGGAGAGGCCCAGGTCACTCTGCAGAGTTCAATTCTGTTCCGTTCTGATGAGCTCAGCAAGCGTGTATGCAGGGCCAGCACCAGGAACAAGGGGTAGAAAGATGCCCTAACTCAGCCCCGCCTGGAACAAGCTCATTGAATACAGACGCAGCAGGGTCCCTTCCCTCAAGCCCAATCCAGAAACCTGGGGAGATCTTTCATGAGCTTCCCCCATGGTCTGTCATCAGCACTCTAATTTGCAGACATCTGCAGCGATCGGTCCAAAAGGAAGTCTTTTTAAATCCCCCATTAATTTGCAATGTCTCCTATGTAACTATCATATTCTGACAAGAATCATGGGTAAGCTATATTTCTCTATCGACAGAGCAAAATGCAATAATCACAATGCCCCACCAACCCCTCTGTTTCCCTGCCCACCATGCCCCTGGCCCCCACTAAGAGGGGCCTTCACCTCATGCTGGTTTCCACCACATCCCTCTCCACCCTGCGAACTCCTGAGTTGAAATATTTTAGAATTTCTGACCCAGGCCATCATTAACATTTTTCACTAGAGCGCATCTATTTTGAGACTCCTCGGGCTTAGCACAGTGCAAGCCTTCTTTTTCACATTATAATTGATATTTGTTTCATCACCATCCACTTGGATTTACTCAATAAATCCTAGACAAATATCATTGCTCCCCCCTTTTTATTTTTCCTGATTCCATTTTCATTTGAATGGAACATTTCCTCAATGAACTTCCTCAGAAAGGGTGCACTGATGACATCTTTTCTGAGGCCCTGCTTATCCAAAAATATCTTACCTCACCTGTGCTTTTTGATACGGTCTTTTTCTTTCAACACCAGAGAAGCATTCCTGTATTAGTTTCCTAGGACAACCACAGCAAAGAGCCAGAGACTGGGCATCTGAAACAACAGAGATTTGTCTCCTCACAGTCCCAGAGGCCGGAAGCCTGAGATCAGGGTGCCTCCAGGGCTGTACACGCTGTCTCCCCATCTGTGCCCTCGCGTGGATGTATGTGTGCGTGTCCTGACCTCCACTGGGTATAAGGTTGGATCAGGGCCTGCCCTGATGACCTCATTTTAACCCTCTCTCCAAATGCAGTCACATCCTGGGGCTTAGGACCTCGGTGTATAGTTCGGGGGAACACAGTTCAGCCTATGCAGGCCTGTTCCATAGCTTCAGTGCTGACAGGGCTGACGATGGCACGACTGGCCTTCACAGGCCCCTGTTCTCGCTGTCTCCAGGCAGTCAAAGCTTTTCTTTTTCTTTTTTTAATCAAAGTATTTTTGATATACAATCTTGCACTGGCTTCAAATATACAGCACAGTGGTTCAACGGGTACCCATATTATCAAATCCTCACCCCCACTAGCGCAGTCACTCTATGTCAACGCAGGAAGATGGGACAGAATCATTAACTACATTCTCCATGCTGTACTATCCCTGTGACCAACTTATATTATGATTGAGAATTTTTGTGTCCATTTATCCCCCTCACCCTCCTCACCCACCCACTCCAGCCCCTCGTCCTTGGTAACCACAGTCCCTTCTCAGTGTCTGTGAGTCTACTGCTGTTTTGTTCATTCTGTTTTACCTTGTTTTTATATTCCACAAATTAGTGAGATCATATGGTATTTGTCTTACTCCACCCAGCTTATTTCACTAATCATAATACCCTCTAGATCCATCCACGTTAAATGAGAGGATTTTTAGGCTGAATAATATTTCACTGTGTGTATGTACCACATCTTCTTTATCCTTTTATCTGTTGATGGACACTTTGGTCACTTCTATATCTTGGCTACTGTAAATAACACAGTGATAGACATAGGGGTGCATATATCTTTTCAAATCAGGGCTTTTGTTTTCTTTGGGTAAATTCCTAGAAGTGGAATGACTTGGTCAAATGGTATTTCTATGTTTAGTTTTTTAAGGAACCTCCATACCGTGGCTGCATCAGTTTACATTCCCACCAGCAGTGCAGGGGGGCTCCCATTGCTTCACATCCTGCCAGCACTTGTTATTTCTTGTCTTTGGGGTACTGGCCATTCTGACTGGCATGAGGTGACATCTCATTGTGGTTTTGATTTGCATTTCTCTGATGATTAGCCATGTGGAGCATCTTTTCATGTGCCTGTTGGCCATCTATTTCTTTGGGAAAATGTCTGTTCAGGTCCTCTGCTCTGCGTTATTTTAATTGGGTTATTTGGTTTTTTGGTGTTGAATCATATGAGTTCTTTATGTATTTTAGATGTTAACCAATTATCGGAAAATCATTTACAAATATATTCTCCCACACTGTAGGATGATTTTTGTTCTGCTGATGGGTCCTTTGTTGTACAGGAGCTTTTTAATTTGATGTAGTCCCACTTGTTCATTTTTTATTTTGTTTCCCTTGCCCAAGGAGATATGTCCAGGAAAAAAATTGGTCATACTTATGTTCAAGTTCATGTTTTCTTCTAAGAGTTTTATGATTTCATGTCTTACCTTCAGATCTGATCCATTTCAAGTTTACTTTTATGTTTGGAGTTAGAAAATAATCCAGTCATTCTCTTACATGTAGCTGTCCAGTTTTCCCACCACCAGTTATTGAAGGGGCTGTCTTTTCCACTTTGTATGCTAATGGCTCCTTTCTCATATATTAATTGACCATATATGCTTGGGTTTGTATCTGGGCTCTCTATTCTGTTCCATTTATCTATGGGTCTGTTCTTGTGCCAGTACCAAATTGTTTTGATTACTGTGGCTTTGTAGAGTTTGAAGTCAGGGAGCATAATCCCCCCAGCTTTATTCTTCCTTCTTAGAATTGCTTTGGCTATTCAGGGTCTTTTGTGCTTCCATATGAATTTTATAACTATTTGTTCTAGTTCACTGAAAAATACTGTTGGTATTTTGATAGGGATTGCATTGAATCTGTAAATTGCTTTGGGCAGGATGGCCATTTTGACTATATTAATTCTTCCTATCCATGAGCTTGGGGTAGATTTCCATTTATTTGTGTCTTCTTTAATTTATCTCATGAGTGTCTTGTAGTTTTCAGAGAATAGGTCTTTTACCTCCTTGGTTAGGTTTATTCCCAGGTATTTTATTCTTCTGGATGCAATTGCAAATGGAATTGTTTTCCTGATTTCTCTTTCTGCTAGTTTGTTGTTAGTATACAGAATATAAAAGATTTCTGTGTATTAATTTTATATCCTGAAACTTTGCTGAATCCAGTTATTATGTTCTAATAGGTTTTTGGTGGAGTCTTTAGGATTTTTCTATGTATAATATATCATCTGAAAATAGTGACAGTTTAACATCTTCCTCACCAATTTGGATGCCTTTTATCTCTTTGTTTTGTCTGATTGCTGTGGCTAGGACCTCCAGTACTATGTTGAGTAAAAATGGTGAGCATGGACATCCTTGTCTTATTCCTGATCTTAGAGAAAGAACTTTCAGCTTTTCACCATTATATATTATGTTACATATGGGTTTGTCATATATGGCCTTTATTTTTGAGGTTCTTGCACTCTATACCCATTTTGTTGAGTTTTTATCATGAATGGATGTTGAATTTTGTCAAATGTTTTTTCAACATCTATTAAGATGATCATGTGGTTTTTATCCTTTCTGTTAATGTGATGTATAATATTGATTGATTTATGAATATTGTACCATCCTTGCATCCCTGGAATAAATCACATTTGGTCATGATGGATTATCCTTTTGATGTATTTTTTAATTTGGTTTGCTGATATTTTGTTGAGGATTTTTGCATCTATGTTCATCAGAGATATTGGTCTGTAATTTTCTTTTTTTGTGGCGTCTTTGCCTGGTTTTGGTATTAGAGTGATGTTGGCCTCATAGAATGAGTTTGGAAGTATTCCCTCCTCTTCTACTTTTTTGAATACTTTAAAAAGGACAGGTATTAACTCTTTTTTAAATGTTTGGTAGAATTCAGCCTGTGAAGCCATCTGGTTGTGGACTTTTGTTTGTTTTTTTTCATTGCTGGTAATTGGTCTGTTCAGATTTTCTGTTTCTTCCTGGGTCAGTCTTGGAAGGTTGTATTTTTCTAGGAATTTGTCCATTTCTTCTAGGTTATCCCATTTATTGGCATATAATTTTTCATAGTATTCTCAAATACTTCTTTGTATTTCTGTGATATCTGTTGTGATTATTCCTTCTTTGTTTCTGATTTTGTTTATTTGTGTACTCTGTCTTTTTTTCTTGATAAGTCTGGCTAGGGGTTTACCTATTGTGTTTATTTTCTCAAAGAACCAGCTCTTGGTTTCATTGATTTTTTTTTCTATTGCTTTGTTCTTCTCTATTTTATGTATTTCTGCTCTGATCTTTATTATGTCCCTCCTTCTACTAACTTTGGGTCATTTGTTCTTTTTCTAGTTTCTTTAACTGTGAGTTTAGACTGTTTATTTGGTATTGTTCTTGTTTCTTGAGGTAGGCCCATATTGCTATGTACTTTCTTCTTAGTACCATTTTTGCAGTGTCCCGCAAATTTGGACTGTTGAGTTTTTGTTTTCATTTGTCTCCATGTATTGTTTGATTTCTGTTTTAATTTGTTCATTGATTCATTGATTGTTTAGGAGCGTGTTGTTTAGCCTCCATGTGCTTGTGGGATTTTTTGTTTTCCCTGTGTAATTTATTTTTAGTTTCATACCATTGTGGTCTGAGAAACTGCTTGATATAATTTCAATATTTTTAAATTTATTGAGGCTTTTTTTGTGGCCTAGTATGTGATCTATTCTAGAGAATGTTCCATATACCTGAGAAAATGTATATCTACTGCTTTCGGGTGGAATGTTCTGTAGATACCTGTCAAGTC